AGTTGATAGCATTCTTTATCGATTCCCAACCACTTGGTAATAGGCCCTGGAACTTCATTTTCAGATAGTTTATCACAGAGGCAGGCAAAATACGGCCTGTGACCCACCAGGCATCTCATCTGGCCCACAGGCACCTACCAACAAACTGTGCCCTGCCCAGCCCTTCCACCCACGAGGGTGGCAGCAAGAAGCCCATGTATACACAAGCCCACCAACACACCCTACTGCACCTCACTCCCACTCTTGCAGGCAGCTTATGGGTGGGGCTCCTGCTGCCCTTGCTGCAGCTGCTCCATGGGAACCTGGTAGGCTTCCCAGGCATCCAGCTTGCTCCAGGAAGCAGGTAGAGAAGTGGCAAGGGTGTGGGCAGGTGCAGGGGCAGGGACAGGGGGAGCTGCAGCTGGGCAGACGCACTGAGCACAGGACTGGGAACACCAAGGAACTTAGCCAGGCAGGGTGTGGGAGAAGGCAGGTAGTGTTGGGATGCCCCACACACACCCCAACATGGCATGCAGCCCCAGCTGCTGACAGCAGCAGCAGCAGATGGAGCACTCAGGGTGCTTGTGCCTGATGCAGGCACTGGTGAAGGCGGGGCACTGCTAGCACTGTGCATGGGGGCAAGGAGCACAGCCTGCCTGGCCGCCTCAATTGCAGGAGCGCAACACACCTGCAGCTCCCACACTCGCACCAGGGGAAGCCCCGCACTGGATACAGTTGCCTTCCCCACCCCCTGCCACAAGTCCCTGGGCTCAGCTGGGAGTGGAGGGAGCCCTGCCCCCTGCCTCCCTGCAGAGTCTAGAGACATGTGGCAGGGGGCATGGAAGACAGGTGCAGGCACTGTGCAAAACCCCCATGATAGAGGCAGCCGGGCAGGCTGTGTTACTTGCCTCCACACGCAGCGCTGGCCAGAGCTGTGCCCCGCCAGGCGCCAACACCTGGGCCAGGCATGTGCACCGAGTGCTGCACGCCATTTGGGGGAGTGTGTGGGGGGTCCCCACAGCTCCCACCCTCCCTCATACCCCACAAACCTCACACACCCACACTCTTCCCCCACAACCCCCACAAACATATATACACACCCCAAAATACCCCACACACAACCACACCTCCCACACGCCTCACCATACACCCACACATACCCCACACCTCCCCATACAAAGCCCCCCACACCTCACCATACACACACACACCTCACGCCTTACCATACACCCCCCCACCATACACACAGACACACACACTATACAACAGTAGTTTATTTTTGATCGATTATGCAATCCCTTCTATATAGTATACAAACAGAAATCATGACAAATATTTTTGTAATAAAATTAAAATATGTTATAGTAGGTGTTTGATTTTTAGTGTATGATTTGTCTTTTTTCTGGTTCCAAGATGGCAACCCCCCTATCCCAAAAGGAATATTTCTGGAGGGCAAGGGGAGGGACTTCTGGTAGCAAAGGTCAGGGGTTAAGAGGCGGGACTTCTGATCCCAATATGGTGACCAGGGGTGGGGCTACCCAAGCGGCCCTCGACAGCTCACCAAAACTTGTTCAGTGGCCCTCCAGCTGAAGTAATTGCCTGTCATGGTCTATCAGCTGGTTCCTCATATGGAAAGGGAGCCCTTGCCCTCTTCGGAAGGCTATGCCTTCAGGGAGGACGATCTCCTCCAGCAACAGAAGAGTATATATGGAGGAAGAACTCCCCACTCCCATCTTTGGCTCAGGATCACAGGGCCATGACTACAGAAAAAAGCATCCTGAAAAATTAGGAGACAGTAGACAGCCCCTTGACCCACAAGATGGCTATGACACTTCTCTCATTGTACCATCCAGAAGGGGCTGAATGGCATGACATCACTTGCACAGCCAGTCCTACTGTGGATTTGCCTACAGCAAAGCGGTTGCCCATGAAATGAAGGCAGCAAGAGGGCACAGCAGCCCCCCTGGCTCTCCAGGGACCTAGCAGACCTCCTGAGGCTAAAAAGAAAGGCCTACAAAGGATGGAGGATGGGAGTCGCCTCCAAGCAGGATTATTCTGCACTGGTCTGGTCCTGCAGGGAGCATACCAGGAAAGCCAAGGCTGCAACTGAACTCCAACTAGCTTCGAGCATCAAGGACAATAAAAGGTCCTTTTTCAGATATGTGGGGAGCCGGAGGAAAAGCAGGGGCAACACTGGACCCCTGCTGAA